TAAGAGTATGAATAGACCAGCTATATAACAGTTTTAACAATGCAAAAGTCCAAACAAACTTAAATCATAATGAGATACAGGTGAATTGTATCTTTTGAGTAATCTATAGCTAAAATGGTAGTTAATGAATGTTGTGTAAAAATGTGGCAAACAACAGCAGCAACAACAACAATAATCAAAGTGAACAAAGTGAAGAGACTATATTAATACCAATATGCTAACAGAATTAACTTTTTCATTTGGCCTAAAATCACACAATATCCATAACCCAGATGTTACTCTCCAGCACTTTGTTCATTTCATGTCGAAAATCGGGGTAACTTTCATAGGTAACTGGCAGTTCTAAGTAACAACCACAGGCGTGTGCAACAGGCCTTCTCTGAAAGCCATTAAGCTCTGTAAATGACACGACAATGTTTTTTCCTGTAAATACATCTGATCCTGTACAAAACCTTAGGAAACTGGAAAGATGAAATGTGTCACACTCTCAAAGATATGTAGTTACATATTTGACTATCTGTTTTTCACTGGCATTTGGATTAGTGAGCGACTTCATTATCTTGCGTGATGTTGGTTGTAGTTCCTCATATGCAGTTGCAATCCCCTTCAGCTTTGACTTCATCCCCACAAGCATATTACTCCACTGCTCAATGACAAAGGCTGGCTCCTGAACAAATTTCTGGTGAGCAAGCTCTCTTTAGATTTGCTTTATGTTGTTTGGTGTTGGATGTCTGCCGCAGTTATGCAAATCAAGAACTTCTAATAACTCATCTTTGTCAATACTTTCAAAATCTGAACAGCAAGTCTGAAATATGAGTCACTCTGAGTGTGACACGTACTTGAGGAAACTATCCCAACAGATCACACTCTACATCATCAAGAACAGCTTGCTCAAGAATAACAGGAGCAAATTTTATTGGAAGATGCTTTGCTTGTTTCCAACCAAAAGCAATGATTCGACCAACACTTTCCCATTCCTCTTTTCCATAGTCATGTCGTAAGTATGGTACTTTAAAGTCATTCCCCATGGTGCATTGTTCATAAAAGTCATTCCAAAACTCTGATAGCACATCCCTTAGTACACCACCATCATCCTTGGCCTTTTCCACTTTCCCATCAGGAAGAATGACTTCAAAGTGGATATCCTTGCTCACAATCTCTTCTTCAGAAAACACTTGAATAAGCTCATTAAGAATTTGGCCTCGATGAACCACAACAATGGTTTTCTTTTTTTTAGACATATTCAAAAAAGTAGGCAACTCTTCTTCAGTTAGTGGCAAAGTATCATCAAGATGACTGGAGGATTCCATTTCTAACAGGTCTGCAGTGCGCAAAGTCACAGTCCGACTATCTTCCAAGTCGTTCACATTAAGTGTTGTTTCTTGTTCTGGTAAACTATTAAAAAGACTTGCATCACCATCTGAAGACTCAGTGCTTCCAAAAGGTCCAATATAAATCACATCTAAATTGTTTAGCTCCAAAACTGTTGAACTGGAACTGCCTGAAGGTTGAGATGGTACATCAAAGTGGTCATATATATGTACAGATTCAACACTGCTCCCCTCAAGATTCCTTTCTGTGTCTTTTTGTATCTTCTTGGTTTTTAAGTAAAAACACAGCATTGGCAACCTGGTTCTTTCATACAGTTCCTCAACAGTAAAATCTTCAACTAAGGGATTTTCCTGAAAGTCAGTTAAATCCACTTCAATATCTGTACGTTTGCCTACTGCATTTCCCCCCCCAGGAAAACACAGTTGCAGTGCTCTTTCTATGAGGTCTGTCTTTGTACTCTTCTTTGGCACACTTTCCTTTCGTGTTCCCTTTTTAGTGCGCATATGCACATACAAGTTGTCTAGTTCCCTGAAATGTAGCCACCCCAGCTTTTTTTCTGTCATTTTTCCTGCTTTTCTTTACATTAACATGTTCTTTGACTGTAGCATTATCTTTTTGGTTTCTGGCTAGCTTCCTCATCCACATGTCTTGATCTCAGATACTCGCACAGCTGATCCATATTGATTTTTACTGACTGCAATGAGCAAAATGACACATGGTCAACTAACTGGTAAACTATATGGCTATATTAATGTTCCCAACATAAAAATAGTATCCAGTGCTTGCAAATAAATTATAAATAAATCAAATACAATTTTTTTTTAAATTTTAAATTGTAAAATTTGGTACACTTTAGGCTCAAATTCCTGGCATGCCAAATAAGTTGGGGGGAAAAAAAATGCGATTTTAAATTAGCCAATGCAGTCATCTGAATCGTTTAATCCTTTAAATGCTAATGGATAACGTTATATGGCCGAGATATGTACAAAGTAATAATCACCCGAGAAGATAACCTACTACTACTAAGTACCTGCAACTTGCCCGACATCCTGAGCGTCAAACCGGTAGAAAATACTTTATCCGACAGATGTAAACAAACTGCGCCATGATGCTAATCAAACGTGTGCCTCTGCCGTCTAGAAACCTGATACCTGTGTAACAGTTCCCACCAGGTCTACGTGTCCCCACAGTGACACCAAGTGGATGAACAAGAGAAATACCAGCAAATACACAAATCATACTTGGCAATCGCCAATGTGAACGGAAATTGATATTGCATTAGGCACTTGTCTATTGTAAAATTAATAAAGTAAGCTGCGTTAGCTAGATCCATGCTAAATACCTGCACTCAAAGCTAGATGCTAAGCTCCATTTAGCCTGCCTGTTTAATTGTCAGTTTTCCTAATTATTAAATTCAATTATGCATATCAAGACATCTTATGAAATCTAGCCTAGTGATTAAAAATGTCACTATTCTTACCTATACAAAACCAGCTTAGACATGGATAGATGAACATTGCCAGTATATCACAGATTTCTCTCCGACGGCTTCAGCAGCAGCTCCTGTGTCTGTGTCTGCATGGCATGCGCAGGTTGGGTCCGGACCATAAAACTCGTAATTATGAGTTTTAAACTTGTAATTATGAGTTTAAAACTCGTAATTATGACTTTTAAAAGTCATAGTTATGAGTTTAAAAGTCAGAATTATGAGTTTAAAACTCGTAATTATGAGTTTTAAAAGTCATAATTATGAGTTTCTTTGAGGCTTTTATTTTTTATTTACTGGCAGAAATGGGCTTCCATACATTACCTCTACTGTAACCCGGTTAAAACTGATGGCAGAGTTGCAGAGCGCACCTATATACCCCATTTGCCCCTACCACATTACATAATCCCTCAATAGACATTATTTACGCCGTTTCCACAATTAAATGGCTGATGTTTCATGCACCAACAGTTATATATATACAATACCTGGCTTATAGAACGAACAGGTCTCATTTAACATTTCAGAGAGACAGATAATAAGTTTAATTGTCTATGAAAATGAGTTGTAGCTCACATGATCACCGGAACCCGCGCAACGGAAGGATTTAAGCTCTTGGCGCGGGTGTGTCTGGGTTTGCCAGAACGCACCACGGGAGGAGGGCGGAGGCGGCGGCGCGAGGGTGAGTGACTGAACTGGTTTAGCGTGATTTGATGGACAGAACAAGCGCTTCGAAGTGTGCACCTTTAGTCGCGGCAAGACACGCAGGAGAGGTTCTGAAAATGTATTTTCATAAGTGGTTTGGTGAGAAATGGTTCGGCGCGCGGAGCGCAGTGAATAAGGAAACGGGCGCGCGCGTCTTCACGTGCTCTCCCCAGGGACGGACCTGCTCCGTCACCAAAATACTGAAAAAAAAAAAAAAAATTACCTTTGATAGCAATATTAAAGAAGAAAGCCGTTTAAACGAGAGAAAAAACACGCAAAGTCATGAGATTTGAAACAAGTAAAAAAAAATAATAATAAAAAATCAACTTTCAATTTGTTGAAGTTTAGTTTCGGTCAAGATCCATGGCTGATGGTAAAAGTGTTGAATGGTGAATTCTTCACACGAGCTCTCAGCATGTGTGCTTTCATCCACAGAGTCAGAGTGTGTCGTCTGTCCTCTCCATGTATCTAATGAACTCATACACTATAGTTTATTCTTAGGACAGAGATACTCATTGTGCGGCTCGTGAGCCTCATGCGGCTCAGGCTTTAACTGGTTTTTAACAAAAACAGTAACACAGCTAATATAATTTTCCAAATGTGCTCGATAAACATATAGTGAACATTGCAACACAAACATCTGCATTACACCGAGTATAAATCAAGGCTTAATTAATGGTGTTTCCTAAAGGGGGCGCCGTGACACCAGCAACCAGTGACACACAGGTCCATGTACAAACCACCTGAACCCGACCGACGATTTCAACTAATCCACCCACAACTCCGACCGACCCACTGCCTGAGCCGCATTTTAAAACGTAGAACGTGATCTTGATTAACGTCATCGAAATAAAGTGACCGACATAAATAAAGTGAAATGTTGTTAAATAAAGAGCTGTGTTAAACCTGCACACATCTGTTCTTTGAAAACATGAACCATTTCCAGCGCGACATTAAGAAAATGTTCTGTATAAATGTTTTATCTATGAAGAAAGTGAAGGACATGCAGCAGCTTCTGCTCGTCCCAGTATTGGGGTAAATCTGGATTTAATAGAAAATGTTTTGTCTGTGTTTGTTTTTTGTGGGATGTCCAGTTTATCTGTAGAAATGCACATTTGTAAAGGTGACTTGGTGTGTTGGTGTATGTTGGTGTAAGTGGCTCTCCTCTTGATTTTGCTCTTGTGAGAAATAGTGAGTATCACTGAAGGTCACCCACAGCTTGATCAATACAAACAAATGTCATCGAAAACAATCACACTTCAAACTCCAATCCATCAAAATCTTCATTCCATCTAAGCTGACTTTTTTTTTTTCCTGTTAATATGAGTGCTTTTTTTGTTTTGTTTTGCACTGGAGGAGCACTGGAGAGGTAGAGGAGGATAAAGGGTGGATGCAGATGAGAGACGGGGCTCGACGGAGGAAAGTGGACTTTCCTCTCCCACAGTGAGTTTGGAGGTTGGAAGTGAAATAAAAGTCAGTGTTGTGAAGTTTCACCAGTATTTTTATCAGATCACTTCAGTTCACGATAACGGAGTTGTATCAGGAAATATGCAATTTTTTTTAGAACATGTTTTTATTTAGAACATGTTTCTCTGAATCTGTGTACAGCTCAGACTTTCACTCGACAAAGATACAGAGCGACCATGAATGTAAAAAGCTGAAAGAAGTCATTTTCAAAACCTCTCAAGAATCACAGAGTTATTTGTGTGTTTGAAATGAAGATCGTCCCGAGGTACTCAGAGCAGCTGAGCATTGTTTCCCCGTTAATATTGTGATATAGAATGTAGATTTAACTTTTGTGGACGGCTCGTGTGTTTTGCTTGTTGTCGTGTTTAATGACTCTGTGTCGTGCACAGAACAATTGTAAACAGATTCACTGGAAAGAGCATGTGATTAAAACAACCTGAAACACCGATGTCCAGACTAAATATAAACATACGAATATTTGATTAACTATTGGACAAAAACATGTACCTACATAAAATGATTACTGTTAAAATGATTAAAATGATTAAAATTATATTATTATTGTCAACAGGTCAACAGTCATTACAAGGTCATACATATTAAAATAAAAGATACAATCCAAAAGAAGTGTACTCCATGTCAAAGGGGAATAAACTGATAAAAAAAAATATATATAAACTGAGTTGGTTATTGATTGTTTTACCAGGGTTATCAGAACTCTTGAGAAAATCATCTCACAAAATCATTTCCACGTCTGTGACTAGTCTTACTACAATTAAATTTTATATTCATAGATAAAAAAAATGGAAAGGTATGGAATAAGAGGGGTAGCTTTAAAGTGGCTAAAAAGTTATTTAGAAAACCGAAAACAATTTGCCAAACTGGATGAACACTAGGGACGGGCATTCGATGAAATTTTCTTAATCGATCATCAGAAGAATTAACGAACGAGAATCGATTAATCATTAACGTTTTTATATTAAAATGATCATCATTATTATTACTATCTGCACTAATCAGCATAAATAAATTCAACTTTACGACATATAAACCGTAACGACTCTAGAGCCACATCAGCTGTTTGACATTATAATGTGTTTAATTCAGTTTTTGTTCAAATCTCACAGAAACAAAACTTAAAACCACATCACTAATTTGCATAAACTAAGCGAAGATAAAACTCCAGCTCTTGTGTCGCTGATGTGGTTCAACTTTCTGTTGGATTAAAAGACATGACTCAGGTGAATACAGGTCAGTGTGACCAGATTTGTGTTTGTCAAAACCAGGACAGCGTACGGGGGGAGGGGGGCGGGGCCTCGTCATCCACATTGAGCGACTCTCACCTGGAAAAACTTTTTCCCACTGGACACAGAAACATATGTGCTGCTTTATCCACTGTGCACATGGACTCACACTTGTCCCAACGCAACGGAAGGTGTGGAATTTCTAACAAATCTTCGTTAAATCCACATTTGTGCTTCGGTTCGTTACAGACTGACCCACTGTTTGTGTCTCGCTCCTTCTGATGCAGAGACACATGTACACACCTGTTTGGTCACGATACACACAACAACCTACATTCGGTTTGTCGATTAAAATAAACGTAATCGATTAAATTCTTAATGATCAATTATCGATTAATCGACTAATCATGCCCATCCCTAGTGAACACTGCTCTTCACATGAGGACGTTGTCTGTGGCAGCCACAAGGGTCCGTGTTACGACCTAAATTATTTATTTTATATATTAATGTTCTATGCAAAGTGTTTACATTGTTTAAAGCAGTGTTATTTGCAGATGACACACATTTATTTTGTTATGGAGACAACATACAACAGTTATTAGCTGATTTAACATCTGAAATGATACAGCTAAAAATATGCTTTGACACAAATTCTCTAAATTTGAATAAAACTAAAATAATGCTATTTGGGAATTATAAGGAAGAAAAATACAGTTACAGATACAAGGTGTAAGAATAGAGCAGGTCAAGGAGAATACATTTTTAGGGGTCATAATTGATGAAAAGATTAACTGGAAAACCCATATCCAATATATTAGGGTCCAAAACGACCAAACGTCCGTTTTCCCCCCGGACATGTCCATATTTTGCGTCCTGTCCTGGGCGTCCGTTTTTTTTTATAAAGTGATGCAAATGTCTGGGTTTTCATTACAGTTCATTAAACTGAGCGTCTCTCATAGTGTCTGTGACTCAGAAGGAGTGAGACACAGTCGGTCAGTCTGCAAGATTTATTTAACCTTTATTTTACCAGGCAAAACATTAAGAACAAATTCTTATTTACAATGTTGGCCTGGGCCTGCCAGAGCAGCCAAGGGAAGGGGAGTTAAAACAATTAGACACTCAACATCATTCATTAAAACATAAAACAAACATTTACATCAATCTCTAAAAATCTCCTTTCGTTTCATTAGTAAAACATTTACACGTGTCTTTAAAAATTACCTTCAGTTTACATTTAAAAGCAGAAAGAGAAATGAAGGAGTCCAGTTTAAGTGAGCTTTGAGCCAAATTCCAATCATTAGCAGCGGCGCATCGAAATGACATGAGGCCAAGAGACGACCTGGACTTAGGAACTTTCAGTTTGATGAGCTGTGAGGACCGAGTGTTGTATCTGGATACCGAAGCGCAAAAGCACATTTAACAATGACTTGTACAAGAAATTCTCCATTTTCTGTCCTGTCGAGACAAGTGTGAGTCCATGTGCACAGGTTGTAAGGTGAGAGTTCAGTGTCTCTCGTTTATCGTGGGAGTTATGTTCTAAAAATAACCTGCGATAGGTGAAATCCACAAAGTATCAACTTTATATTTAAAAAGTATTCTATCTGTTTTAAGGCTGTAAAATCCCTCAGCACAAACTTTATACACTTTTCTCAGACAGGACAGGTGCAACCCTTTTTACTTCCTTCTTAAAACTTATCGCTGCTGTCGTCCTTTTGTTATTTTCCTCCTTCTTTATGTAACGAACTGAAGATTCATTTATTCTGTAATGGAGCCCAACAGCGCAGAGTCCTGCACGGGGCCATTTTTGGAGACCCCCAGTCCAACACTGCACCCGCCCGTACAGGACCGCACCTGCCCATTAACCCGAGATTATATCAAACTTTTGCGCTGCCTACACCAGGACTGAACCAAGACTAAACCAGGACTAACCCAGGACTGATTCCAGGACTGAAGAGGAGGACTAATCCACGACTGAACTAGGACTAAAACCAGACTGGTCACCCTACAATATATACATAATAAAATATCAAAAAAAGTATTGCAGTATTAAACAAAGCAAAGTACATCTTAGATCACAGAGCACTACACACACTTTATTGTTCACTGGTTTTTGGGGCAATAACTATAAAAGATCAATAAGAATTATTTATAATGTCAAATTTCATGTCCACACTAATCCACTGTTTATTCACGTAAAATTACTCAAACTGAATGATTTGATTCTGTACCAAACGGCACAAGTCATGTATAAAGCTAAAAATAAGCACTTACCAAAAAAATATCCATCTACTTTTTTGTGAAAGGGAAGGAAACTATAACTTAAGAGGCTTTTTGAATTTTAAAATGCCTCGTGCTCGAACGACAAGAAAAAGCTTTTGTGTCTCTGTTTTTTGGTGTAAAATTATGGAACAACTTGAAAATAGAATAAAAACTTTGTTCAAATATACATGTGTTCAAAAGGGCAGTTAAAAAAGGGATTATCTCAAAATACTGTGCTGGAGGAATTAGTGCTTAGTGTATATGTGTGCATGAATATGGATGTATATGTATATGGGTGTATATATGTGCATATATATAGGTATGCATGGGTATGTGTATATAATGTGTATGTAAGTATGTATATATTATATCTGTGTATATGATGTGTACTATATCTGTGCACATAATACACATATATTGTTGTTTCTTAGATTTATAATGCAATGTGGGTACTGTGCAATTATTGTTTATATTGTACAGGTCTAGTTTTTTGTTGTTAATTTGGGACGGTAGAAAAAAGGAGTGGGGTTAATTAACAATTTACTTCATCTCACTCCTTTTTCGGATACAAGGAAAATCAGCGTAACATTTATTTTTGCCTATTATAGAATAGAAATATTGACTTTTTGTGTTATATCTATGTATTTACATTTATGTATTACTGTCCGAATAAATATTCATTCATTCATAAAAGCTGTGGGTGACCTAAGGCAATGATGCTCACTATTTTTTTCACAAGAGCCACATTGGACGAGCAAAATCAAGAGGAGAGCCACTTACACCAACATACACCAAGTCACCTTTACAAATGTGCATTTCTACAGATAAAACGGACATCCCACAAAAAACAAACACAGACAAAACATTTTCTATTAAAACCAGATTTACCTTAATACTGGGACGAGCAGAAGCTGCTGCATGTCCTTCACTTTCTTCATAGATAAAACATTTATACAGAACATTTTCTTAATGTCGCGCTGGAAATGGTTCATGTTTTCAGAGATCAGACGTGTGCAGGTTTAACACAGCTTTTTATTTAACATCATTTCACTTTATGTCGGTCACTTTATTTATGTCGGTCACTTTATTTATATCGGTCACTTTATTTATGGGGGTGTCAAATTATCGCGTAAATTGCGATTAATTAATTACAGTCATATTTAGCGCGTTATGTTTTTTAATCGCGTTAATCTCATTTTTAATCTCTAACTTTAGTGTTTCTGTATGTGAGTTGCTTTATTATAAAACCTGTTTTTATGTGTTGTTGGGACAACAACACACACACACACAAAAAACACATTTATAATTTTTTTTTATTTCGGTAATTCCACTCATTGCCGGAAAGCCACACAAAACACGCGCAGTAAGAGCGATGTAAACGTCATGTTAACGTTGGCGGCGTCAGGCACAATGGACGAGGTGGAAGAGCCAGTAGAACAGAGCAGCAGTGCACAGAGAAAAACACATTCGTGTCTTGGAAATTCTTCTCCCGACGTGAAATATAAAAGAAAATAACAAATATAATATTGCCTACAACTTAAATGTCACTGGTGAAAACAACCTGCATAGACTCATGTCTGCACTACTGTCCTATACACAAACACACACACAACACAAACACAAACACACACCTCAATCAATCAATCAATCAATCAAACTTTATTTGTATAGCACTTTTCATACATTTGAAATGTAGCCCAAAGTGCTTCACATGCAACAGAAACATTTTTAATACATTAATTAACCCCCCCCCCATACCACAATTTAAACAGAAACATAAAAACTAAAAAAAAAACTAATAAACATAAAGCTCTTAAAAGTTATAGTAAAAATTAAAAGTGTATAGCTAAGACCAGATGGAGACAAAATAAAATAGTAATGATAATTTAATTTAAAACTACCATAATAATAACAATAATAATGATAATTTAAGTTAAAACATAATGATAATTTAAGTTAAAACCTTCATCATCGTCATTAACCTGAGAACGCGCGGACCACGTTTCCTTCCGTAGACACTGCGCAGACACTGACGTGCTCCCGTGAGCCGCGTGTGGATCGTGTTTTCTCCCGTACGCGGCGTAAACCGCGCTTCCTCCTGTGCGCCTCTAAACCAGAACTAACACCAAGACTAAAACCAGGACTAATCCAGTCCAGGACTAAACCAGGACTAAACCAGGACTAAAACCAGGTCTAAACCAGGTCTAAAACCAGTGAGATATATATATATATATATATATATATATATAGCATTTCTCTATCAATAATATTTTTAATATGGTTAAGGAAAGACTGGACTTTTTATTGTCTTCAAGTAGACAAAAGTTATTATGTTCAGATTTCCTCGTCTTTGCTACTTTACAGCAAACAGTTTCTTATTCATGGAGACTTGGGCTCAACAGTCAATTTGAAGAGATTTGTTAAACAATAAATGACTTTATAAAGTCACTTTTTTTGTTCTATATCAGTCTTTTGATCTGCCACAATAATGTAATAATGAATTTAAATGAAAATACCTCAAATTGAAGCTTTTCTCAGCAATTTTTAGGTGAGATTAAAATTAGATTAATTAGATTAATTAATTACAGATCATAATTAATTAATCTCTCAATTTTTTTTATCGCATGACAGCACTATTTATTTATGTCAGTCACTTTATTTATGTCGGTCACTTTATTTATGTCGGTCACTTTATTTATGTCGGTCACTTTATTTCGATGACGTTAATCAAGATCACGTTCTGCTTTTTAAAATGCGGCTCAGGCAGTGGGTCGGTCGGAGTTGTGGGTGGATTAGTTGAAATCGTCGGTCGGGTTCAGGTGGTTTGTACATGGACCTGTGTGTCACTGGTTGCTGGTGTCACGGCGCCCCCTTTAGGAAACACCATTAATTAAGCCTTGATTTATACTCGGTGTAATGCAGATGTTTGTGTTGCAATGTTCACTATGTTTATCGAGCACATTTGGAAAAAATAAAAAATATTAGCTGTGTTACCATTTTTGGTACAAGCTTGACGAGCCGCATGTGGCTCACGAGCCGCACGATGAGTATCTCTGTCCTAAGAATAAACTATAGTGTATGAGTTCATTAGATACATGGAGAGGACAGACGACACACTCTGACTCTGTGGATGAACGCACACATGCTGAGAGCTCGTGTGAAGAATTCACCATTCAACACTTTTACCATCAGCCATGGATCTTGACCGAAACTAAACTTGAAACAAATTGAAACAAGTTTTAAAAAAATCTACTTTCAAATTTCATGACTTTGTGTGTTTTTTCTCTCGTATAAACTGCTTTCATCTTTAATATTGTTATCAAAGGTAATTTTTTTTTTTCTTCAGTATTTTAAAATGGAATTCACATTTTGCTTTACTACGTTGAGGCTGGATGGTCCTGAGAACAATGGAGAGTTTGAGGTCCAGCCTGGCAGAACCAAAGGGTCCAAACAAAAGGAGCAGGAGGGACAGTCCATCAGGATAAACCCAGAGCCTTTCACAACCACAATACACGTTTAACTAATACATGTCTGTGCTTTATTGTAGATGTAAATCAGACTTTTCAGGTCCAGACAGCAAGCACAGGGGCCTCGAAAACACAGAACATGTGAAAATCCCTCAGAATGACTGACCCCAGACCTGCTACAATAAAAACACTTCAGGAAGTAAATGAGGTTGATGCAGTAGAAATAATGTTCAATGTGGAGGTTGTATAAAGTCATTAACTATTCCTCCTAAGTTTATCTCCTTCCTCGGAATCGTGCGTGGTGATTCATGGCCACAGTCAGGTATAAATACAGAGCCAGTGTTTGACAGAGTCAGTCTGAGACACAGAGACACTGAAGCAGGTTTGTCTTTGGTTCTCTATAATCATTTGAAGTTTCCTGTAAGAAGAAGCTGGGTGGGGAGTCTCTGCCTCAAGTGGAGGAGTTCAAGTATGTTGGGGTCTTGTTCTCACATGAGGGGAGGATGGAGCATGAGATTGACAGGAGGATTGGTGCAGCGTCTGCAGTGATGCGGTCGCTGTATCGGACCATTGTGGTGAAGAGGAGCTGAGCCGAAAGGGGAAGCTCTCGATTTACCGGTCAGTCTTCGTTCCTACTCTCACCTCTGGTCATGAGCTCTGGGTAGTGACCGAAAGGATGAGATCTCGGATACAAGCGCTTGAAATGAGTTTCCTCCTCAGGGTGTCTGGGCGCTCCCTTAGAGATAGAGTGAGGAGCTCAGTCACACGGGAGGAGCTCGGAGTAGAGCCACTGCTCCTCCACGTCGAGAGGAGCCAGTTGAGGCTCGGGCATCTGTTCCGGATGCCTCCTGGGCGTCTCCCTCGGGAGGTGTTTCAGGCATGTCCCACTGGGACCCAGGACACACTGGAAGGACTGTGTCTCTGGGCTGGCCTGGGAACACCTCGGGATCCCCCTGGAGGAGCTGGAGGAAGTGTCTGGGGTGAAGGAAGTCTGGGAGTCCCTGCTTAGACTGCTGCCCCTGTGACCCGGCCCCGGATAAGCAGAAGAAGATGGATGGATGATCTGAGAAGAAGGCAGATGAAATAACCAACTCTTTCTTTTTCTTAGGTTTTTATTTGGACGAGTTTCATCTGGATCATGAAGCTGCTGATTCTGTTGGCTCTCTTCTGTGGAGCAATGGCCCAGAACAAAGGTGAGTGTGCATTAACTGTGTGTAGTTCCTGAACTTACACTGATCATTCATGTTTTTATTTGGACCACACAGATGTTCCAGAGCCTGTCCAAGACATCAGTCTGGATAAAGGTGAGTGTGTCTGCAGCCAGCCCAGTGTCCGCTAGGTAAAGCTACAGTGTGTAACTTTCTGGAGGTGGCACCTGCATGATTCCACAGAGATAGAAAGATAAAACCAATACTTTCTCCATGGAGATGTTTCCTACCACACTGTGGGAGGTTATTGCTAAAGCAACATTTCCATGGATAGAAGCAGGAAAAGGTCCTCCTCCAGGACACACAAGAGTCCAGTCGAGTTTGTGCAATAAAAACAACCAAAATGAAAATAACAATTGTGACTAAAGGTTTGGTGCTGTGGTCTCTGTTTTCAGGTGAAGCACAAAATGGACTTTGGAAACATTTTGGTGAAACCAGTCATGTTTTCCACTCGACTCCTCAGACTTGGGCCAATGCTCAGGTAACATGAGCTCACAGTTTTCACATAATAATACAATAATACAATAATATAATAATACAAACAGTACAGGCCTGATTAATGATGAATCCTTTTCTCATCTGAACTTCTCTTTCAGATGCACTGTCTGGCCATGGGAGGACACCTGGTGGTCCTCAACTCTAAGGTGGAGGAGGACTTTGTGAAGGGTCTTTCTGGGGGCAGAGAGATATGGATCGGCCTCTCAGATTCACAGCAGGTATGTTAAATAGGAGGATCTAGAAGACCAGAATGGTACAGGTACTTACCGGTCAGATTAAAGTCGTCTGCTGCTCTGGATTTGAGTAATATCTCATCACATCGACCACGAAGAAAAAAAAACAGAACTCCTGAGTTAAGCTTTGACTTGTATTTTGATACTTTTGTGTTTGTGTTTTAGTTCGGACTCCTGGTTCTGGATCAACAGTGAGCCTCTGGGCTACACAAACTGGTGTCCTGGAGAACCTGACAAATATGGTGGATACCAGCACTGTGGCCTGACTAATTACTCAGGTCAGTACCCATCAACCTGAAGGTTAACAGTTCAAACCTCACTTTACTAGTGCACACTAGTGTGTTGTTGGGCAAGACACTTCACCCCCCTCACCTGCACTGGCCGTGCACCCTGGTGTATGAATGACAGTGTATTTGTGAGAGTGAATGTAGGAAACAGAAGCAAATAAACATGTATTGTACTAGTTTGAATTACTGTAGATTATGTGTTTTGTCATTTATAGACCTGAAGTGTTGGGATGACCAGGAGTGTGACAGATTTCACGCCTACGTCTGTGAAAGAGAAAAGACTCAAGCCTGAAGTGCACTAACTTCAGTCATAGGCGTCTCACAAAATTACCAATCAGTTTGTCTTTTATCAAAATTTTTTGGAAATCAACAAAACTTTTGAATTTTTATTTACTTTTGGCAATTTTTCCTGATTGTGCAAAAGGAAATGAAAAGTGAAAATGTTGAAAACTTGATTAAAAAGCATTGAAACTCTAAACTTCCTGTGTGTTTTCTTTCTTCATAGGCTTTTCAGTAATGTCTCGCACACTCGTACTGTGCATTAATGTCTCACACACTTGATGGTAAGAGATGGTCTGAGCTGCAGCATCGGCTGTAGCACGTGGACTTGTACACGTAAAACATCACGAGGTCAGTGCTGTGGATCCCGCGGTTGAGTTTGTCGGTCAGATGTTGGAAGTTTTGTAGGATGCAGTATTCGTTGTGTCCATCTCCCTCTTCAGTCTCCTGGTCCCATTGTTTTGTTTTGTGTTTTGTGCACAAAGTTCTTCGCGTGGGGCACGTTGGGACTCTTCTCTGTGTCGTACTCACAGGTCACAGGCTTGTCGGGCCACTGCTGAATGAAATCTGGGTATTTCAGGAGGGCTGCACCTGCCGCTCAGGCCCCTTTGTGCACCTGACAGCGGTCCAGTTCATCTGAACTGAGAGAAACAAGGAACCACCACTGTCCACAGAGCCGCCATCTGCAACAACGAGGCATTAAAGCTCCACTATGTCACTTTTTTCCCTGGTGAGAAGATTCTATCCATTTGCTTGATTGCTGTGAATGTTGGTTCATCTGCTTCTCTGTCACTTGCTTGGCTTTGAATGTTCCACAGTATTGCATTAAAGTCCTATATTACACAGAATTGACTCTTGTGAGCTTTAAACCATGTTATAATGTTGTTCCCTCATCAAAAACAGACCTGGACTTGTTTTGTTTCATTCACACGTTTAAGTAATCCTGTATTATTAGGCTCGTGCTCCCTCTTCACCACAATGGTCTGATACAGCGGCACTGCCGACGCTGCACCGATCCACCTGTCAATCTCACACTCCGTCCTCCCCTCACTCGAGAACAAGACCCCGAGATACTTGAACTCCTCCACTTGAGGCAGGGACTCTCCACCCACCTGGAGACGACAAGACACATTTGTCTGGTTGAGAACCATGGCCTCAGATTTGGTGGACCTGATCCTCACCCGAGCCGCTTCACTCTCGGCTGCAAACCGCCCCAGTGCTGCAGGTCCTGGTCTGATGAAGCCAACAGGACAACATCATCTGCAAACAGCAGAGACGAGATCCTGTGGTCCCCAAACCGGCCCCTCCGGCCCCTGACTGCGCCTAGAAATTCTGTCCATAAAAACAATGAACAGAACCGATGACAAAGGGCAGCGCTGGAGGAGTCCAACATGCACCGGGAACAGGTCTGACTTACTCCCCGCAATAAAAATATATGACAGAATTTAAAAGAGGAAATGAGGGGAGGGATTATAAAGTGTTCTCGAAATATTACAATGAAGATTATAAAGAAAATGATCATTGTGACTAAAAGTCAGAAACAAACATAGCTACAGATAACATAATAACGGCCAATAGTGGAATAACTTTGACCAACTTTAAATAAGTGGTATTTTACTTCTATGTGGTGCTGTAGTCAAGAGCGCACTAATCGAGACCAAGACCAGTCCAAGACCACAGGGTCCTGAGACCGAGACAAGACCAAGACTTTTAAAGGTCAAGACCGAGACAAGACTGAAAGCACAGCCCATTGAGACCAAATCAAGACCATCTTTGACATTTTCTACATGTATTTGTATTTTATGGTTATTTTGGCACATTTATATCAATGTTTTTATGAATCTATCTCTGTTTGATCTGGTTAAAGTTCATTTAGGCTTGAAATAAGCCAAGTAAACTGTGCTGAACTGAAACACTCTGTGCACCTTTTTTGGTCCCTGACCCACAGTTTGAGAACCTCTTCTTTAATCCCACTTCCACTGGCACTTTACAGAAAACCACTTCAAAGTGAATCAAGTGTGTTTTTTTGAAGTTCATAACATTTACAGTTAATTATCTCACTGGTTTTGCAGTGATATTGAGCCTCTGCACATTCACCGGCCGTAATGAAACACGATCGCTCTCGTCGAGTGTCAGACCTCGAGTCCGAGACAAGACCAAGACTTTAAAAAAGTCAAGACCAGTCTCGAGTTCTGCGACACTACTTCTATGGGGTATTAACATAACATACTTAGATCACCATGTTCCCTTTTATTGTTTTAAAAATGCCATATTAAAAAAAAACAAGGTATTAACATGTTTCACTTTAGTGTTTGACGCTCTGACTCTCCTCTCACGTTACTCCCTGAACCATGCACCTTTAAGTTGGCGAGATAATACCTGCTGTAAATATAAATTATACTTATTCAAAAGGAAGTTTGTGAAAATGACAGGAAGCAGAGAGTTCTAGTTTAGAGAGTTCTTGTCATGGCTGGTGCTCCCCTTCCTGTGTGTGTGTGTGTGTGTGTGTGGGCGGAGTCTCCTGGTCCTGATTCGTCGCACCTGCAAGCAATCAAGAGCCATCTACTTCAGACCTGCTCACCTGTGAGACTCTGGCAGATTGTTGGCTACCTACACACGGTGAACCTCCTGGCTCCTCATTCCGAGTTTTTGTAATTCTTACCTTTTCGCTTCGACGTTTTCACTTACCCGCGTTCTCTGCTCACCAGTGTTCCCTGCCGTCTCCAGCCCTGCTCCAAGCCCTGCTCCAAGCCCTGCTCCAAGCCCTGCTCCAAGCCCTGCTCCAGCCCTGCTCCAAGCCCTGCTCCAAGCCCTGCTCCAAGCCCTGCTCCAAGCCCTGCTGCCCAAGCCTGCTCCAAGCCCTGCCAAGCCCTGCTCCAGCCCTGCTCCAGCCCTGCTCCAAGCCCTGCTCCAAGCCCTGCTCCAAGCCTGCTCCAGCCCTGCCAAGCCCTGCTCCAGCCCTGCTCCAGCTCCAGCCCTCCAGCTCCAAGCCCTGCTCCAAGCCCTGCTCCAAGCCCTGCTCCTGCTCCAAGCCCTGCTCCAAGCCCTGCTCCAGCCCTGCTCCAGCCCTCCAGCCCTGCTCCAGCCCTGCTCCAAGCCCTGCTCCAAGCCCTGCTCCAAGCCCTGCTCCAGCCCTGCTCCAGTCCTGCTCCGCTCCTGCCTCCAGTCCTGCCAGTCCTGCTCCAGCCCTGCTCCAGCCCTGCTCCAGTCCTGCTCCAGTCCTGCCTCCAGCCCTGCTCCAGCCCTGCCTCCATTTTGTAAAATAAATTCACCTTTTATTTTTACCTGGTCTGTTGTCCATTTTTGGGTCCCTCCTCTGCTTAACCACATCAGAACAATCTGGCCAAATGGACCCATCGGACCAGGACCAAAACCCTGTTCTTCAGGCTCTGGCCACACAGGGGGTCAGAGTGGGCCAACATGAACGGATCCTTAATCAAGTGACTGAAAGACTCTGTGAATTGTCCGTGAATGTAACTCAACTTTCCACGCAACTTAATCAGCTCGCTGCTCAGCTCTCACCTGTGCTACCATCACCACCTGTTGGTCAACCTCAACCACCTGCTCCCTCTCCAGTCCAGCCTCCCGTCTCTTCCGCTCGTGAGCCACACATTCCAACTCCAGAGCGCTACTCCGGTGATCTTGGGTCCTGTGGTCAATTCCTCCTCCAGTGCTCCCTAGTGTTCGACCAGCAACCCCACACCTACCATACAGATAAGTCTCGTATCTCATTTTTAATAAGTCTACTCACTGGTAGAGCTGCACAATGGGCCACTGCTGTTTGGGAATCAGACTCCACCTTATGCCAGTCATACGTTAATTTCACCGCTGAGATGAGGAAAATATTTGACCACCCACTTAAAGGCAAGGAGGCAGCAAGACGCCTCCTCTCACTCCATCAAGGCTCATCATCTGTTGCCCAATACGCCATAGATTTTCGCATTCTAGCAGTTGAGTGGTTGGGACGATACGGCATTACAAGGTGTTTTTATGAGGGGGTTGAGTGATCGAGTAAAGGATGAACTGGCTGCACGTGATGAGACTAACACTCTCGAAGAACTCATTTCCCTTGCCACCCGTCTTGACAATAGACTTAGAGAGACAAAAGGAGAAATCACGTCAGTCCTCACTTTATCTCGGGTTACTTCCTCTGTCTCAGATGCCCCATCTAACAGTCTCCCTGTGCATTCCAGTTCCCCTGAGTTCTCTACGGGAGAGGAGCCTATGCAGCTGGGCCGGGCTCGGTTAACACCTGCAGAACGCCAGCGCCGTCAGCAGTCTGGACTGTGTATTTACTGCGGACGGGCTGGTCACTACATCAGTTCCTGCCCTCAGCGACCAAAAGAGATGCTCACCAGTAAATGGAGAGGTTCTGGTGAGCCAAACTACTACTCTCTCCCGGTTGCCTCTCCACATAGACTGCAGCTC